TTAGTCTTTGAAAAAATTTACTTGTGCTTATTTATTCCAAATTGCACTTGAAATGATGTGATTACCCAAAGTATAGAAACATTGGCTCAGGTAAAGCCATCAGTTGACCCTTTTGTATATATTAAATAATTCATTCAATATATAGTGGTTTGGAAGGCTGTAAAATGGGAGTTGCATTGACAGATTGAGTTTAAAAGCTCACACTAATATGGTAGGTATATATATATATAGGAGAGAAGGAGAGACTTCAGTTAACTCAGATTATTATTTACAAGTATTCCAGTAATCAACTCATAATGTGATTCTAAGGTGTAAATGGTTAGAATTTTGAACAATGTAGTATGTGTAAAATTGAACTAAAGTATTCAAAGGTATTTTTTACTAAATGACTTTAATTATTCCTGTTTAATTTCAGGGAATTGGTGATAACAGTCAGGGACTTGCCGATTTTGTTCTGTTTTGTTTATTTACTGTCAAGATTAGGAACAAGTTTAGACATTGTTGTGGCAGGTTTATACCATTTTGTAAATATTCTGCAGAACAAGATCCCTTGTCTAGGAGTACAAATTTATGTTATGGAGCAGTTGATTAGTTTTTTTTTTTATCTGAAAAGATATTTTTAAACTCTTTGGAGACCTGGTTGTAGGCGAAAGATAACTTATGTAGATGAATGGGTCTACCAAAATTCCAATGTGATTTCTGATAAACTGGCAGATTGTCACTCCAAATTGTCAGTATGTTTCTCTAATGAAACAAAGGGAGAGGTTGAGCTTAACTCAAAAGTCACTCGGGCCTCTGTTCCATTGACCCCTTTAATTAATGACAAAGGTGGTTAAAGATGGAGAAGAAACCAGATAAAAACCATTAATGCTTGATATGTTCAGTTGATAAGATAGATCAGGGTTGTTAAGAACTTCTGTTAAATTCTGAATAGATATGTGTTTGGGATTTTTCTTTAACCTTTTCTCAAATGTCCTATTTGACTAACAATTTTTAATGTGCAAACGTGAAGGCTTTGTTGACCCCCTAGCTCTAACCTTAAGTCAAGGCCAACTCAATCTAATAAGAGCATGTTTTATATCATGATGTTTAGGAGATTTAAGTCTGTAGGTTGTAGTGGATGCCTTGATGTTCGTATTTAGGGTTACCAATGATAAAGGGAGGCAGATAATTTATTCCTAGCCCTCCTTCTAGCATCCTAGACAAATAAAAAGGAAAATAATACATGTAGCCTCAACTGCACTTACACAAAATATTGTATTTCCTAGAATAAGCACCTGGGCACTTACTTAAACTTTTGGCTAAAAAGGAAAGGCAGTTATAGGAAGGAGTGTGCTTAATCAAGGGGGGTGCTTATTGAGATTGTGCAGCATTAGAACAAAAATTGAAAGAACAGATGACACATAAAGGAACTGTGCAAGAAAATAGAAATAGAAATAACTAGAACAGGATAGATTTGAACTATTCTCTTGTACTGATTCCACTGTAGTTCAAGCTTAAAAAGCTGTTAATAAAGTGGCAATATAAACAGATTTTCCATATATCCAGACTATTCAAGAAATCGGAGGAGAATGGGGGTGCTTGTTTGATACAACGGCAAAGGAGGGCCATAATCACCTTACACAAAGTGATTACAGTGAGATATGTTGCAATCCTTGACCAATGAGAGCGTGCATCTCCTTAAATACTATGTACTGACCCTGTGTTATGTACTCATCAGATGAACTGATCAATCAATCAAGGATTTAGGCATTTTACTATATATCATATCATTAATAATTTGTAATCAATATTTAGCTTTTTAAAGTATTTTATGTTAGTTTTTAAATGCCATGTATTGGTCAATAATAGATTATTTTGAAATGGTAATTTTGATGATGGTGAGATCTGCAGATACAAATTTATGTTTAGTTTTTAATTGTTAGGTTTACTTATTTTATTTCAGTTGTTTTAAAGCACATTAGATCATATTCATATGTATATGGCACTATATAAGTATTTAATTTTATTAATTATTATTATTAACTGTACGGCGCCCGGCACCAATTCCATTTCAATTCTATCAATTTTTAGGTTCACTTAGTATTCACCCCTGCAGGTAGTCAATTTTTGACAATAGAGTCTGTTAAATTAGCTTAAAGACTCAACAAAAAATTACCTTCATCCCTGTGGTGTTTATTCTGGGACACATCGAGGGCATCCTGAAGTTTTTCCTGTTCTTAGCATGCTTGCCTGATTGTGGACAAAATGGTATTAGTATGTCCATCCAATAGCTTGAGATCCTGCAGGTGATTAACTTTCCATTTGCCTTGGTGATTACAATAATCTGAACTTAAAAATAATTGTCTTTCTGTCTTTTCCCAATTTTCATTCAAATGAATATTAGGGCTACTGGAGACAACAGCCAGGGTCTTGCCAACTTTGTTTTGTTTTACCTGTTCACCAGGAAGATAAGAGAGAGGCTGAGACTGTTGTAGCCATTGCATGCCTGGTTGTTCAATATATTCCAGTAGAGGTCAATTACTTGAAAATGAGACCTGGTATCATGGTGGTGTAAAGAAATAGACTCTGTCTAACATAAGTTTCATTTTGCAAATTAATTGACCTGATTTTTTTATCACTACATGCAGTCAGTTTAACATTATCATAGCTTATGCAAAAAAAGAATTAAGAAGTCTCAGAGGAAAATGATAAAAAAAATGTCATGAAATGAGGGTAGCAAAGGGGAGAGGGTCTCAAATTTTAGAAAAACCTCTGAGCCGGAGGGTTACACTAACCAATATACGATAAATGACGTGTTTTCACTCCTTCCTTTTGCAGCTGAGGTCGTCGATATTTTAGATATTTTGATTCAGCATAAATTAAGTGTACATAAATATACGTAATTCTTAGATTATCAACAAGATTATCATTTTGATGCAGTTTTTTCACAGTTTTCACCACTTTGATTTTAATTTCTTCTTTACTTCGGTTTCAGAATGGATGAAAGTACAATTCTTTGCACTGAAACAGATCTCTTTTCATATCTTAAGGTGTTTCAGAGTAACCTCTCGGTTAAGGGACTGAACAAGACTTGATTTGCTAAACGTGGCCACATTTTGGATGTAATTCAGTTACGCATTTGATCTCTTGATAGCATCTCCTTTCAGTCTTTTTTTCCTTCTGTCCCATTGTTGGCAGTTACTAGAAACAACGTGTAATATAAATGGACGTTAATTAAAGCTAGTTTGTTAGCGACTGAGTTCTCACTAGTTTGATGGTAGAACATCCTATCACGTAATTAGATCTATCTGGAGTTCGAATATTCTCGGGAGATCTAATTTTTTTTCAACCTTCTTCGCTAGTGAGAAATGTCTTTCGACAGCGTGGAACAAAATTAACACTCCCTCCTACTCCGTCTCCACCCAGGATTCTCTCGTTATACCTCGATATTGCCCTTCCCGCTGACTAACTCCCCTGACATGTGATTTCGCAAAAAAGTTTAATATACGATCTTTTCATTGCTAGAATTTTGATGTCAGACAAGGAGTAAAAAATAACCAAAGCCCGATGGGTGTGGGGAGGGGGTCAGGACTCCTTGGAACCTTCCTCTGTTCCCGCTTATTACAGAACATGAAGTTTTTAATGCCTAACGCCGATTACCATTGTGCACCTTTCCTTAATGAGTTACACTGCCTGTTCAAAAGGATATTTTTTTTTTTAGGACTGACAAAGGCAAAACACCGAAAGCACCCCAATCTGTCATGTTTTGAGGGTGTGGCACAGATTCACTCTTACCCCCGCATAGTTCAAGGTTTGTTGGGCGCTCAGTGAAAATAAACATGAAACTCTGAAATGCGAAAACCCTCAGTGTTTCAGACCACCTATGCGGACGGCTTATTCCAAAGAAATCGAAAGCTGATACAGAGCTATCACCGAATGTGTTCGAAGTCATCTGCCCAATCAGTGAAGCTTCAGAAGCCACAAGTACAAAGCGTTCTTTTTTTTTTTCTTCTTTCATTTTCGTCCTTTGCTCTTCAAGAAGAACGAGACGGGGACAAAAGAAACTATTCCGACTGGCGACTTGGCTGTCACCGCAGAAGTGTTCTAATTGCAGTTGCTGTCACTGTACTTTTATGTACAAATAATTAATGCATAATAACTCGTTAACTACAACAAAAAGTTGTCAATCTGAAGTCAAACTGTGAGTAAATTGACCGTATTTCTTAGTACTGCGGAGTAACAACACTAACAGCTCTGTCTCTATCCAAGCGTTTATCCCGCAGCCGGCGAAGAAATCCAGTTCGCGTCGATCTGTGAAAAACTGAGGTGATTGGAGTTTGTAATGTCTAATTCTTATTCATCAATTTTCCTTATTCATTAGAGTACCACTTATGTAAGTCAGTGTGGTAGTTTCGTGGCATGGACCACGTAAAGTTCGTCTCTACTAGAGTGATCATGCAGATCACCTTATTACACAGCGTGTTTGGCTTGCTGAGGTGCTCAGATCAAGAAACGGAAGAATCGGTCCACCAAACCAAATTCGTCCCACTCTTGTTTGCATGTTTTGTCAAGCTAATTGTAATTGATTGTTGTCGTTTCCAGTTCATCTCTTCGGCGATATCTAGTTAAGCATGAAGTAGAGCAATTCTTCAGGTATAACAGACTTTTAATGACATAAATTTGAATTTAATTCACTCAAAAATTGGTTGTATAATAATAAAGATTATATTTCTTAGGTGCTTAACTCGGCGAAAATTTGTTCTGGTTCCCGCTTCAAGCAATCAAGAGTAATTTACGATATTTTATTATGTTGTATAGCGATTTGGAATACCCATTATTTGAAATACAAAGCTGTATGGAAATCTGGCGTGAAAACGGTAAAGGGTGCGATCTTACTTAATGAGAGACAGAGACATCAACACAAAAGAAAATCATTTAACTAATTGTCTCTGAATGAAACCATTAACTTGATTTGCACAATTGTTTTACTTTAAATCACGTCTCTTAAGTCTTAAGAAGTCGTTTCGCTCTTCAGTTTCAACCTTTTGGTGAAACTGCCCCCTTGTGGATTCCAGAGTAAGACGGTTTCTATTGAAATGCAGCATAAGAACGCTTTCTTTCATATAGCTTAGAAACGTGTATTCGTTTGAGAACGTTTTATGTTGGTTACGGTAGCGACAGAGGAATGCAGCGAATTATTTGTGATTACACATTGTTGAGCTAAATCATTTTCAATTGCAGATTTTTCTCGCAGTGTTCAAGACATGTCAAGCGAACCTCAAACACCGAAGGTGACTGTCACTGATGAAAGTGAAGATGTCACCGAAACTGATCGCTCTCCAGCGGAGAACGCGTTTTATGAGTCGTTTCTTATTCAGTCGCGCTCAGCGATTGAAAGTTTGTACGCCTCGAACATATACCATAGTCAACGGCACGCTAAGCAGGTTAAAGATCTCGAGAGACAAAAACATTATAGCATGTCTGAAATGAGCAACAAGCAGAAGGAAATGGTTAAAAAGATGACTCAGCTTCAGGAAAAACAGGAGAAGATACAGATAGAGAAAAGAAAACAGAACATGAAACATTTATCAACAAACGGTGAACATCGTATGAGGCCGCATTCGACATCATCGTTATCCGATCGTAAGTCAGATCGAAAGGCAATGCTCAAACACCGACCACGATCGGGATCGATGCCGTTTCTCGAGCCTCTTGATCCGAGTCTCGTCAACCGAAGTTTGTCGAAGTCTACCGAGAATCTATGCTCAGAATCATCACTACTAAGCGCAAGTCTTCCGTCAAATGCGCTTCTATCGCGATCTTGTGAAGATTTATCAAATCTTGGCAGAAAGAATGGAAAAATCATACTACCAGCTTTATCGAAGCTTCCGAGGACGAAATCAACCGGAGACTCCACGGAAGATTCCGACTCAACCTTCATAACCCGAATGCCATCTTCACCTCCGACGAAAGCTAAACTTAACCTCAAGTTAACACCTTCCGGCTTCAAACCCGAGCATCGCCGGGGATCGCTCGATCCTTCTGTTATGAGAGACTTGGACAGACGACGAGGGATGAAAACAGACAGTCCTCCGGCCAGTCCAAAGAGTACACAAACGAAATGGGTTCCTAAATCTTATGGTATGCCTCAGGGGAGAGGTCTCCCTCCTGTGTGATACTTTGACGCGCAGATGTCATTGAAGTGTTGAAAGAGCTCACGAAAGGTGATTTTCGACTGAATTCAGCAAAATTTTATCGTGGTTCTGTAATGTAAAGGAGTGTTCACGATCATTTCCTCCCATGAAAACTGTGTAGTGAGATTAGGTTAAGCCGGTGCGCACGGCTAACCAAAATGTTTCTTGTTGAAAAGACAAGTGACAGGAGAAGGTAGGCTATACTACCACTCATAAATTTGTTTGACCAAGCGGGGGACTAATGTCTGGCATTATATTACTTAACGAGACAGCAGAGTGTGCAGTCTTTTTCAGTGACAGGCTTTCCCCGGCAAGTTATTTATATTGGAAGCTGACACACACACTCCACTCTTACTTCCGCGCAT